GTGATGATGCTTCTTACGTCCGTTTCGGAGAACCAGAGGACAAATATTTCAATCGATCGCTCAGGCATGGCACCGAAATGAGGCACCGAAATCTGCGTTCTGATTCGGTTCTAGTACATACCGGTTACATAGGTACCGGTGCCATATTGGTACCGGGTTTCGGTACCCAACCCTACATTTTGGAGTGAATAATTCCTTTAAAACATGTTCCTGATCTTTTGTGAATGATTCTAAGATGTGCATTATTCAAATTAGAGAGATAAATACATAAATAATAATAAAAATTATAATAATGTGATAAAAATAAATGAATATTTTATAATATTTATAGTATTTATAATAAATACATTTGATCAAAACAAACAAAATGTATAAAGTATAAAACTTCTAAAAATAAAATAAATTTTTATCATATATACATACATGTATGTATATATATATATATATACAGTGCTGCTTGAAAGTTTGTGAACCCATTAGAATTTTCTATATTTCTGCATAAATATGACCTAATAGATCATCAGATTTTCACACAAGTCCTGAAAGTTGACACAGAGAACCCAATAGAACAAACCATTAACCCATAATAAAAGTTTATGTTGTTTAACCCATGCAGACACTGTCCATAATACATACTTTTCATATATACACTTATTCATACAGTCCTGCTTGAAAGTTTGTGAACCCTTTAGAATTTTCTATATTTCTGCATAAATATGACCCAAATCATCATCAGATTTTCGCACAAGTCCTGAAAGTAGACAAAGAGAACCCAATCAAACAAGTGAGACAAAAATATGTACTTTGTCATTTATTTATTCAGGAAAATTATCCAATATTACATATCTGTGAGTGGCAAAAGTATGTGAATCTCTAGGATTAGCAGTTAATTTGAAGGTGAAGTTAGAGTCCATCTGTTCAGAGGTGTTTCAGTAACTATCAGGTGTCAGTGTGTGCCTGGTCTTCTATAAAGAACAGGGATCCATCAAAGTCTGATCATGTTTGTGGAAGTGAATCATGGCACAAACAAAGGAGATCTCTGAGGACCTCAGAAAAAAAGCTGTCGTTGCTCATCAGGCTGGAAAAGGTTACAAAACCATCTCTAAAGAGTTTGGACTCCACCAATCCACAGTCAGACAGATTGTGTACAAATGGAGGAAATTCACAACCACTGTTACCCTCCCCAGGAGTGCTCCACCAACAAAGATCCCTCCGAAAGCAAGACGTGTAATAGTCTGCAATACTATTATATTAATAGGCTGCAAAGGAACCCAGGGTAACTTCTAAGCAACTAAAGGCCTCTCTCACATTGGCTAATGTTAATGTTTATGAGCCCATCATCGGGAGAACACTGAACAACCATAGTGTGCATGGCAGAGTAGCAAGAAGAAAGCCCCTGCTCTCCAAAAAGAACATTGCAGTCCGTCTGCAGTTTGCTAAAAATCATGGGGACAAACCAGAGGGCTACTGAAGAAATGTTTTGTGGACAGATGAGACCAAAATAGAACTTTTTGGTTTAAATGAGAAGCGTTATGTTTGGAGAAAGAAAATCACTGCATTCCAGCATAAGAACCTTATCCCATCTGTGAAACATGGTAGTGCTGGTATCATGGTTTGGGCCTGTTTTGCTGCATCTGGGTGAGGACGGTTTTCCATCATTGGCGGAACAATGAATTCTGAACTATAACAGCAAATTCTAAAGGGAAATAAAGTAAAATATATTTAATTTTTTTATACAGTTAAATTTGTATATTTTTTTTTAGTGCTGGAAAGTTTTTGTTTACATAATATACTGTATGTGTGTGTGCCATGTATATTTATTATGTATATATAAATACACACACAGACAGTATATATTTTGAAAATATTTACATGTATTTACACATACATACACATACACACATATATATATATATATATAACCTCTTGTCCATTAGTCACGTTGAATCAATGAAAGCAATTCAATCTTGGCCCTGTCCCAAATCGCACCCTAAACCCTCGCGGTCTTCCTCTGAGTCCACACTTTCGTGACATAATGCCGGTTTGACTGTCGGTTAGAATTGGAGCTCGCCTCAGTGCATCTGTCTGTCTGTCTGTCTTTACATCTGTCTGTCTGTCTGTCTTTACATCTGTCTGTCTGTCTGTCTTTACATCTGTCTGTCTGTCTGTCTTTACATCTGTCTGTCTGTCTGTCTTTACATCTGTCTGTCTGTCTGTCTATCTATCTGTACATCTGTCTGTCTGTCTATCTATCTGTCTATCTATCTATCGGTCTGTATATCTGTCTGTCTGTATATCTGTCCGTCCGTCTGTCTGTTTGTATATCTGTCCGTCCGTCTGTCTGTCTATCCGTCTGTCTGTCCGTCTGTCTGTCTGTAGTGTACGTCTGTCTGTCCGTCTGTCTGTATATATGTCTGTATGTCTGTCTGTCCATCTGTCTGTCCGTCTGTCCGACCGTCCGTCCATCTATCTGTCTGTCCATCTATCTGTCTGTCCGTCTATCTCTAGATAGATAGATAGATAGATAGATAGATAAAAAGGGAACAAAAACACACCCCAGCTGTACACAGTCTGCAATAAATGAGCTAACTGATGTATTTTTTTGACAGGCAAGAGGGTGTAAAGATATAAAACAGGATCTTTTGAGATATTGCGGTACCTTGGGTCTGTGCTGGATGACGATGCTCATCACAGACTAATGAGATCTTTGGAGTATACTCAGGTGTGCCTGCAAAGACAAAGAGAACACCATCAGTAAACACACATAGTCTATTTGAATATGCAGCAGATATCCTGTCACTATGCATCAATAAGTGAATTAAAGGAGTAGTTCACTTAAAAATTAAAGATATTCGTTCATTCACCTTCAAAGCTGTGTGGTTTTCTTTCTTCCTTGGGACACAAAAAGATCAAATTTTGTGTAGTTCTCTTTGTGTTGTTCTCATGCAATGGAAGTAAATGGTGAACAGAGGCTCCAAAGCTACTGAGAACAATAAGTTTCAGTCAAATTTCAGTCTGTTCCTCTCACAGAGTTATCATATAGCTTCAGAAGACTTGGAATAGAGTGTATGAGACTTCATTTTGTGTTCCACAGAAGCACATTAATAATGACATTTTTCAAATACACACTGAATACAAAATACACAATGACAATGATGTGGCAGAATCTACAATCCTGAGAAAAGGTTGCCACAGATTCCTGCTGATCAAATTCTAATTAGAGATTAAGACAAAATCTTGACTGCCGGTGGGCGGGTTTAATCTTCAAACACACGAGACACTGACCACAAACTAAAAAGCCGCACCGCTTCACTTGCGCCGGGTCAAAGCCGGTCACTGCGTACCAATGATCAAAAATCTCCACATCCCATTAGCCAGAACTCTCAGTGGGGTAACCCAATTAAATCAATTCCATTTAATCAGAGTGGGACGCATGAGCTGAGGGGGTGTGGCTTCCCTGACAGTCGAGTCGCATGTAATCCCACCGCTTAATCACCAGAGCTGCATCCACTGAGAAACGCTAATTGGAGTGTGATGGAATTCCACTGATTCAACTGGAAAGTGTTGCAAATCGATCGACCTCTTAGATCTGAAATTTGTAAAAGGTCTTGCATGGGTCATGTGACCAGACTCAATTTCTGCTTTAAATTAAAAGTATACAGAAATATGTTATAAAAATATTTTTAAAATAAATATATATTTTAAAAATATATATACACATTTAATCTAAAAAGAGAGAGTTAATCAAAAACAATAAATATTTCTCACGCTAATGTACAAACTATTGAAACTGGAAATTTGGACGGGGCATATCTAATTGTTTTTTATATTTTTTTTAATTAATATTTTAAAGCGATAGTTCACCCAAAAACGAAAATTACCCCATGATTTACTCACCCTCAAGCCATCCTAGGTGTATATGACTTTCTTCTTTCAGCCGAATACAATCGTAGTTATATTAAAAAATTGTCCTGGCTCTTCCAAGCTTTGTAATGACAGTGAAGAGTGGTCGAGATTTTGAAACCCAAAAAAGTGCATCCATCCATCATAAAAAAGTGCTCCACACGGCTCCGGGTTTAGTAAAGGCCTTCTGAAGCGAAGCGATGCATTTGTGTAAGAAACATATCCATATTTAAAACTTTATAAACCATCATCTCTAGCTTTCGCTAACTGCCGTATGCATGTTCACGAGATAGTGGCGCTCCAGTGGATGACGTAAGACGTAGCGTAAGCTTCCAATGAGAATATACTAGTCTCACGAGAACCAGATTTTGTTTACAGCAAAGGAAAGCCTCTTGGCTTATATCGAAGTCCTCCGTCATTTTTCTTTACAAATCCTCGTTTTGTACTTCTAATTCCTGACCAGTGTTTTGTTTTGCTCTCTCCTCTGCGCTTCGGTGTTCATCACTTCTCACCGGAGCTTACACAACGTCTACGTCTTACGTCATCCGCTGGAACGCCACTCTCGTGAACGCGTGTTTGCATTATTAATTCTGTAATTTTTCTGCTTATTACTGTGAAGCTGTTTTGAAACAGTCTGTAATGTATAAAGCACTATATAAATAAGGGTGACTTGACTTAAAATACATTTGTTTCTTACAAACAGCTTTTCGCTTCACAAGACATTAACTGATGGACTGGAGTGGTGTGGATTACTTGTGGATTATTGTGATGTTTTTATCAGCTGTTTGGACTCTCATTCTGACGGCACCCATTCACTGCAGAGCATCCACTCACTAGCAAGTGATGTAATGCTAAATTTCTCCAAATCTGTTCCAATGAAGAAACAAACTCATCTATATCTTGGATGGCCTGGCTGAGGGTGAGTAAAATTTCATCCAATTTTCATTTATGGGTGACATAAGACTTTGTAAAACCTTACCACATTGTGTAACGAAAGATACATGGCCTATATCAACACAAGCATGATACTGAAAAAATAAAAATGAACTGAAGCACAAGAGAAATGACCAAACATGATGACTTCATTACTCCCTTCAAATGGGAAATTGACAAAGAAACACAGTTCTAGGACTCTTTTCCTGGCAATGATAACCAGACCTCTATAATGGAGTAGACACGTCAGATTTTTCTGCGGCACATAAATATCATTCACTTCTAAACCTCCATTTGAGAGTCACATGGTGCAATCAAATGACAAAGCCGTCGAGATGAAGTCATGACACAGTAAATCAAGTGAAAATCAAGTGAATTTTGAGCTTTTACAGGCACACAAAAGGAAAAGGAGCAAAACACTGATAGGGAGTAATAATCCCTTCTTTTCCCGATTACATAAACTTAATAGGATTCAGAATGCAATCACTGTCTAACCTAATGCTTTTAGAGACACAGAGGAGGATCTCATCAGATTGCGTCTGGACAGAATGATTCCCTTGTCTCCACTTTTCTGTTCGCTCATCTTGCACATTTCCTGACCCCTTCGTCTCCGCTTCACATGCCCCCTTCGTATTTACAGACTGATCGGAGACAATAAAGAGACGGACGAATGTTTACTTTGTCATGAAATGAGAAATGTTCTTCCATTATATCATACAAGATCATTGGCTCCTGCTTGCACAATTCTGCTTGCACAAGTCTCGCTCCCAGCATTCATTTGCACTTTGTCAAGGAAACAGACATTTTATGTCAAGGCACTAGGGAATTAAATTCATAAAGAAAATGCATGGTAGATTATCTTCAATTATGAATACTGCCAGAACAGGAGTATAAAAAATAGATATTCAAACCATCCTCTGCGGTGAAGAAATTAAATTAATTTATTGCTATGTTCACAGAGCCAAATGTGCTCAGACTTCAAATATAACATCCATAGGGCATAAACTTATCATTTATTTCAGAACTGTGTAATGTTTATGCTAAACTGAAATGTGGTTCTTAGTTAGGGTTGCACGATAAATCGCATGTGATATTTAATGCGCATCTTGTCAGTAAATGCGCTTCTGTAATCAGCGGTAAATCTCCATCACGTGCGGGCTTTCAAGCTGCGCAAAAAAATCGCGCGATTATGAACGTGGTGTTGCGCAGCTTGCCTGTGAACAACGGCTCTCTGTAGTAAATGTTGCTCCATTTGAAAGCCCGCACGTGATGGAGATTTACCGCTGATTACAGAAGCGGCTTTACTGACAAGATGCGCATTAAATATTGCATGCGATTTATCGTGCAGCCCTATTCTTAGTACTTATTGATTAGCTTTGAGGTCGGATACGCTAGTGTACTACTAAGGGGTTGACCAAATTATTTGTATACACAATACACAAGTCTTTCTCTTCAGGAAACGGACCAAAAATATTGAATTTCCACGCAAATAAAAAATTTGTCAAACAAAATGCTCTATAGCAAGGCTCTTTAACCGGGGGTCCACAGCGGTAATCCAGGGCCAATTAATGTCTGATCACAAATAATTTTTTGTTAAAAAATTAAAACATGGGTAAAAAACATCACAAAGTCAATTTTAAATATAAACACCCTGAAACGAAAGCAAGAGCACCCTCAGTTGATACGGTAAATGATATAATAATATCATTGGCGAAACAGATTTAACAAACGCTCCATTGCGTTTTTGAGTTTGAGCTCTGGAGAAGGTGAAATGTTACTGTTGACAGCGAGTTTCTGCAGCAGTGAGAAATGTAGTCAATCACAGACATGTTTGTTGATCTCTTGAACACAATGGCCAATCAGAGGTGTTTTTGTTCAGTGCTGAGTTTTGTTCACTCTCGCGAATCGTCTCTTCAACAAACAACTATACGAAGTAAGAGTTGCATTATGCAGTGTACACTCTAAAAAATAATTCAGTGGATCTGTTGCCACTACTTAATTTAATGCATTAGTGCAAGTTAAAAATTCCAATTTATTGATTTAATTAAACATTTTAAGTTTTAAACATTTTTTAATGAGTTGTCCTGATATCTTAATGTTGATAATTACATCAACGTAATACTGTGTGTAACTTCAACTTAAATATCTGTGTTAGTTTGTTTAAAACATTATTTAAGTTGTACTAACTCAATGTAATTAGCTCCATAACTTCATTTTTTCAAGTTCACGTTTCAGGTTCCCAGCATGCTTTGCATATGACTGAATAATGAGCAGTAATGTAGAAATAAACTCATATTTTATGCATTTCTATTCAAGATCAGAACAGGAGAAGATTTATTAATGTTCAGTGTTCGGTTATATTAGTATTTAAAAGTGTTTCTGTTATGTTGGTGGTTTTTATGAGATTACCATTGTGCTGAAGAGTAGAACATTAGGTTGAGAACAGACTCACTGGGCATTGTTTTACATGCAGTTTCAATCAGAAGGCATTTGGTTGAAAATGCTAAAAGATTGGTTTCCTGGCAGCATTAAGTGTTGTTGATTCAAAATCATATTTTAGTAGTTTTTGTAACCAGTGTCCATGATTGAATCAAATTTAAAAAAACAACTTAGAACAATTTAATTTTTATGAGTATTTAACTTAATAATTGTTAGTTTTAACACAATTTTCTAAGTATATATAGCACAATATAGTTTATTAGTTGAACTTAATTTCAGAAGAAGTTGCCTTAACTCCAAAAAAAAAATTATGCAAACTGTTGCGTTAATTTTTTTTGTTGCGTCCAAACAATATTTTTTAGAGTGTGGAAAGGTTGGTCATCATCATTGCCGCTTAAAAATTCAACAATTTAATATAAGTCTTAAATTAAATTCTTAAAAATTCATTTCAAC